TACATTTCAAGTAGTTATATGATATAAGTTATAAAAACTAATATAATATAACACATATAAGCAAGGAAATAAATAGCTCGCTAAAGTTGCCGCTATTTGAGAAATAGCTTTTTTTGGCAGCGTGCCGCTATTTGTATTCATGTGCAATTTAGCCGCTAAATCCGGCTAAATCTCCGCTATAGCTACAGTGTCATAAACGTTTTAGCCCGTTATTTAAAACCTTGCATATAAGTCATAAGTAACACATGTCATTCTAAAATATATAGTAATATTTTTTTTTTTTTGTAAAAAATGTAAATTAAATATAATATAGTTTTTTCATTAATTTTAAATTTTAATATTAATTTTTTAACAAGCACCCGTGTAATACACGGGTGTTGTACTAGTTATAAAAACTAAAAACTGGTTTTCTTTTCTTTTCATCATATATTCGGGCTGGGCCCGACAGGCTTGATCGGATCAAGTGTCTTATAGTTGGGCCTTAACCGGGCTGGTTAAGGCAGGATAGTCTCAGCCATTGTACTCACATATATGTGTGATGTATTGGACACTCACCAAGTTTTCCTGTGGTTTTTTATACCCTTTTTCTGTGTCCTCCGGTGGTGCTATGTCTTATTGATTGCGTTTAAATTAGACGTGTCCATTTGCCGGGCCGGGTCGAAACTCGGCCCAGCCCGCCGGGACGGCGGTTCACCGTGTAGTGAACTGGGCCCGGCCCGCTTGTAACTAATGGCCGGTTCACTGAACCGGCCCTTAACCGCCTGGTCGCAAACCCGGCGGGTCGAGTCGGTTCCGGACCGGGCACCACATATTCTTCTTCTTCCTCGTTGGCTCAAAAACCCGGAACCCGGACCGGACCCGGCCCGGCCCGCCGTTTTTTTTTGACCGAAGAGGCCCGGCACCGGCCCTCTAGATGTCGGTTCCGATTCGAAAACCGGCTTTTCCGGTCCGGGTCCGGCCCGGCCGGCCTGGTTCGACCCGTGGCCATGTCTAGTTTAAATGTTGTACTTTCTTGCAAGTTTGAATTGGGAATGAGTTTGTTCTAGATATTTTATGAAGACTAGGATGTTGGCCGTGCAAATGCGACTCACTATTAGGCCATCATTATAGTTTTTATCGGAAATTCTTCTAAACGTACGACTTTATGTCGGATTTTTTTATAATATAATATTCAATTAATTTTTATTTTTTTTTTTGTTCATTGGCCTCACAAAAATTCAACTCAATACTCTGCATCCTTTGTTCACCACAAAATTTTCTTTTTGAACAGCCCATAAATATTGCTTTTCTTGATTCATTCTCTCTCGCTTGTGGCCTACATAAAATGGGCATGCTTAATTAATACTGGCTTCAGCCTCAGCTAGCACTCAATAAAATAAAACTATATTATACTCCCTCCTATTTTTTTTTAAATGTCATTTTAGCTTTATCAACTATTTACTAAATAAATGTCGTTTTAGATTTTTTGTACATATTTTTCCATTATTACTCTCATTTAACTAATAAATACATCACGTCTTTTCATAATCACTCTTTATCTTTTTCTCAAAACATTCATCTTTATCTTCATTAAATAAGGTTATTATTGACAAAAAAATATTATTAATATACGTGCAACATCCCAAAACGACATCTATTTAAAATAGGAGGTAGTATATAATATTGGGTATTATCATGCTATTATTAAATAATAATATTCCCCAACTTGTTAAATGCATAAGTAATTAATATATTGAAGGTCACATTACTGTGTAGATAGTAGATGGACCTCATTTTAATCACGTGGACCTGTCGGGCGTTGACTTTTCTCTCTCTTTTTTTTTCTTTTTTTTTTTAAGTAGGGTGTGGTTATTATCCCAACATTATTTCAACGTCTTGGAATTTTATGAAAATATTGAAGTTGATTGGTTTTCACGAATTAATGTTTTTGGCATGTCGTCTTAGTCTAAAAGTGATTTTTATTTAGATACTGGCCCGATCAGCTCGGCCTTTTGGAATTACTCGGATATTGGCCCGGGTTTTAAGATCGTCTTCCGGTCCTTACCTTTGAACCGTGAATTCTACGATGACCCAATTCGGATATCAACAACTCAGTTGATCGAAATAACCATATAGAAGTTTTGCCATCCATATTATATTATATATTGATATAGCCACGGCTAGTACTACCAGATCGACTGATAGTTTCTGATATAGCATGTCATATCCGACCAATTTTTAGGGATATATATTGAAGAATACACCTATACATAGGCTAAGACACTTGATATGATAATATGGGCCAAGCCCAACTTAGGTCAAACCCAATTTAGACTATAAGGTACATTCTCCCTATAAAAAGGGGCTAAGGTACTCATTTCACACATTCTCTACACACTCTCTCCCTACACTCTCTTCCTACACACACTCTCTCTCTCTATATCCATTCTTAAATGAATCCAGTACTGCCTTAATTAAGCATCGAAGGCCCAAAGCCGGGCACTCCTCTCGAGGTCCCCGACTTTGGGTTCTTGCAGGTACGGTGGCCGTTCGAGTCGAGGGAGCCCGGATGACATCTTTGTCCTATCATATATATACACATTAAACAATATGCCAACGGGTACCCTAGCTACTTTAATCTTTATCTTGATAATATTCTCAATCCATGCGTGGACAATTCAATTTAAAGAAATCAATCTGGACCGTTGTTGTTTGCTTTGATGGTGATTTTTAGCGTGAGATGGAACTTGGAGTGATATATATGAGCTCCAATTAGATATTATTTCTACAAGTTGTTGCCATTATAACTCTACATATATAGCACTGTGAAAACATAGGGTCACAAAAGGGAATCAAAAAAAGGATACCATATATAGCTAGCTACTCATATTAGGTTTTGACTTAAAAGTTTTGTCTCATATCAAATGTGTATGAAAGACGTGGAATTTTTTTTAGTATAAATATGTCTTGTATTTGGGTTATATCTATACCTTTTTTTTTTTTTTTTTGATACATAGGGTTACAACCCCACTATACAGAGTTGCAGTCAATCCCTAGCCCTAGTCCCCGGCCCCACAGAGATTTCGGGAGTTAAACCTAAGACTTGCAACAGTGGTTTTCAATTAGTCCGAAGCTGTACACTCTTGGGCAACCAGAGGTCCGACCACTTCAGGTATCTGCATATTTGCTCCTCCCAGGTTTCGATCCCTCTACGCAGTGCTTGCAAGCGAGCATGCGGCCCCCCACTTAACTGTGCTACGCCCCGGGGGCATCTACATCTTATTTTAGTTTCTCATATCTCTTATAAGGAATTCTTTAATTAATGAAATCTTAATTTGTGAGCTATTTAACACTAGTTATATTTTAGTTGGTAAATTCAATGAATTTAGGACATTCTTGTTTATAATTTTTTCTTGGTTTTGGTTGGTTTTTCTATTAAAAATAGTTAGTTTTAAAAAGTTGAATGAGTTAAGTTTAAGCGTGATTTTTGAATTTGTATTAAAATAACATTTAAAATAAAACGATTAGAGTTGATTTGATGTAAAAGTATGAAAAAAATTGGAATGGATGGATAGTTAAAATTATGTGAGCGGATGAATAATGAATTAAAGATGATATGATATGTAGGGATGATTGATTTATATTACTTAATGATATTAATAAAATACATGATAACGAGGTTGAGCTAAATTTTAGTTAGATTTGAGCTGAAATTGATTTTTTTTGGAAAAACTTATAAACAAGCACCGTGGTCTGCAGTGTCTGGAGAAGTAGACAATATTAGTCGAACTCCATTAATATTGGTATGTTCTCTCCCTCTGCTGATAGTTGACGTACTGTAACACCCTGCTATCTTATTAATATCAGAGTTAATTTTTCGCAAAATCTTTTCTAAAAATACTTATTAATTTGCGAAATCATAATTCATGATGCTACTAAAAACCTTTCTGTTCCGAAAAAACCCGTTATCTTTTTCTGAGTTCAACTGTAAAGAAAACGGATTATATTTAGTCAACCTAGCATGTAATACTGTATAAAACCCGACTGATAAATCGGATCAAAATCTAAAAATCAACATGCGAGTTTGAAAACTGTAAGTGTCAGCGGAAGTAAAAGCGTGGCAAAATATATACAACAAAAGTCTGCAAAATGGCATCTAGCCAAGTCCACGACCATGAACCACCAGCTGAGCTCACACCTCTAGACCGACCATGTGGCCTGAAAAAGAGAAAAGAGTGGGGGCGTGAGCACTAAAAGCCACTGTGCT